TAAAATTTGAAAAATTAAAATAAAAACATGTGTGTGTGGGGGGGAGGTGCAGGGTATAGTTCCAGTGGTAGTTTATATAATGGGGGGGCGAAAAAAAAATGTCTGCCCCGGGCGCCCAGAACTCTGGTTACGCCACTGTTGGGGGCCATGGTATTTAATATAAAGATCCATTTGGATTCATTCTGAGATATTTTTCTCACCCCAGTGGCTGTACAGGACCCAAAAGGTCGCTGTAAAGCAATGTAGTAGCTGCAGATACTACAGTGTTTTACAAGGTCCCTGTGGCCCTTCCAAGTATAAAATATATATACTTACATTGGGCCAAGCTGGAACAAATACTGAAACCCAGAGTTCAGCTTTACCTACTACAAGTTCTACCTTTACTACTACTACTACTACTACTACTACTACTACTACTACTACTACTACTACTACTACTAATACACTGTTTTTACAAATTTAGAAGCACATATGTTAGTATGCACATATGATTTGTACAGGATTTGAGTCTTTTATTAGTAACAACAGGGTATTTAGCGCTGCATAACTACTATTCTTATACAAATAATGGTGCCTGTGCAGTTCTTGGTTGTACTCACACATATTTGACATAGATCAGCTCCTACTGCAGGCTATCACTTTGTGACTTGCTACAAAGTTATAATGTTGCCACCAGATTGCTAGGGGACAGGGGAAAGAAGAAATGCTTCAGATTGGAGACATCCTCTCATCCTAGTTAGAGCTTAAGGAGCTTAACACTAAAAGGTACATATTTTAGAAAAATTATATTGTTGTTATATACTGTGGCACATCATGAAATTATTCATGCAGACTTGTAAATTGCTGACCGGTTCTCTGTAAGTGTATGCAACCTGTGAACTTGAGTGCAAACTAGATGCATTACTTCAAAATGACTAATGTGATGTACCTTTTAAATCTGCTCTTTTGTGTATTATTTTTCTTTTTTTATGTTTCTTTTGTCATTAGTCTTGGGTGAACCTGAAACAATAGAGTGGTATAGTCCACAAGGAGAAAAGATATCTTCTAATCAGAGAGTTGTGGTGCAAAGGGAAGGCATCCGATCATGGTTGACAATTTATAATGCTAATATAGATGATGCTGGAATTTACCGGTGTCAAGCTACTGATTCAAAAGGTCATACTCAGGAGTCTACAGTCGTTTTGGAAATCTATCGTGAGTATCTGTAGAAAATGTTTCTCACGTGATTCTGTACTTTTTATTTATTTTATTTATTTGTGCATGTTGCGTTTCTAAAAATGTTAGAAAGAAAAAACTGGGATCTATCTAATTTACTAAATACTTTGACTAGATATGAATTCAGGTATTACTGAGCATTCATGTCAGACTACTACAGTATAAGCAATGTCAATAGTGAGTGTAAAGGTTTTAAAATAGCAGGGTAAGTGTGATGTCAACATATTGAAAATAAAACATATGTTGCTTTTATATTGTGTATATGTATGAAACGGCTACATCAGTATTAGTAACTTTTTGTAATATGTTAAGCAACTAAAACACAAGAATACTAAAATAACATTATACATAATTAATAGGGTTTACAAAAATAAGATTTTGCTCATATACTTGTTGCTAGTTTAGACATAACATACAATTATTTATATAGCACCAACATATTCCGCAGCACAATTGTTTAGACAAGACAAGTAAAAAACACTAACAAGCATCGCTGACATACAGAAACAGTAGGTGAGGAGGACACTGCCCAAATGAGCTTACAGTCTAAGAGGAAGGGGACCAAAGACACAGAGGCGGGGAAGGGGAGACTACAGATGTATACCAAATAAAATGGGAGGGGATTTGGAAGTACTATAAAACGGGAGCAGAAAGGAAGGTTGTATAGGGTGAGAATCAAGGGGCGATCTAAAATGCTTCTCTAAAGAAGTGCATTTTGAGGGATTTCTTAAAGCCCTGTAGGGATGGTGAGAGCCTGATGTGGCATGGGAGAGAATTCCATAAGGTTGGGGATGCCCTGCTGAGGTCCTGTAGACAAGAGTTGGGTGTGCAAGTGAGTGAGCAGGAAAGTCTCAGATCATTAGTGGAACAAAAGGCAGATTTTAATTAGGGATGAAATATAAGCCAGTGCATGGTTATGCAGAGCTTTGTAGGTAAGGTTGCTGTATTTACTTGAGTCATTGAGGTTGACTAAAGGCAAACAGGCTGTTCACTTTGCAGAGTTTGCACTTTTCTTTTAGCTCAATGAGTGAGGCAAAGCTCTGCTGATTAAAATCATCCAATCATTTGCAAAGTGAAATACTTTTTATTTTTATTTTATCTTGCACATGATTGGGTGTTCTTTGCAAAGTGAATTTTCACCCCATTCACTAAGCTAATTAATCATTCCCTTGCAAAGCACAATTTCCTTTGCAAAGTGAATTTTCACCACATTCACTAAGCTAATGAAACATTCCCTTGCAAAGCACAATTTCCTTTGCAAAGTGAACAGCCTGTTTGCCTTTAGTATCTCAACCTCATTAAGTCATGTTCAAATAACATTCCTATTAAAAAAAAAAAAGAACTCTGGTGCATGCTTGGATGTTCAGTAAATACTGGTTTATTGTGGAATAATTCACATGCTACTACATTGCCAGCAACTTGGAAACATTTAATCCTAAGATATTAGGACTGAGAGTAAGTTTTACAATGCTAATGACATAAATAATTGCCTTTTAGCAATGCTTTCAACATTAAATATGAAGTCGTTTTGCACATATTTAATTTCTCTCTTTTCAACTGATTGAAAATGTTTTAAAATATTTTTTTTATAACACTTATCTTAGCCTTTTGAGCTAGCTGATGGACCTTTGCCAAAGCTCAGTTGCTCAAGCTGAAATTAACACACAAATTTGAATGATTTAGAGCAGTGACTCTTTAAATCCAAACACTTCCATCCAACTCCAAACTCCCTTCCTCCAAACACCTCCATCTGGTTTTAATCAAAAATCAGAAATCCTTTCAGTAAAACTAAAACTTAAAAAACAGCTAAAACCAGGTGGTTAACAAACCATTATAGTTTCCTTGTAGTAAATATGTTTTTTGCTGATTGATCTCCTGCAGAAGGGTTTTGTCTTTAAATCAGATGGCGTTTTGTAACAGTTTACCTGTTTTGCATCTTAAAGCACATTGCCAACTGTAATCGTACATAGTGCTTGGGTACTTAGTGATGTCCAAAAACTGACACATAAGGGTTTATTTACTAATTGCCGATAGGCTGTTCACTTTGTGAGAGAATTTGCACATTGCAAGGGTATATTTTTTTTAGCTTAGTGAGTGCTGGGAAAATTCACTTTGCAAAGAATACCCATCTGTGAGCAAGGAAAAAAAAACATTTATTTTCACTTAAACTTGGGGTAGCGGAAGTTAGCTGAGCTTCATCTCATTCACTAAGATAAAGGGAATATTCCCTTGCAATGTGCAAATTTCCTTGCAAGGCGAATAGCCCATTTGCCTTTAGTAAATCAGCCCCCTTTTATGAAGACGATTTTTTATCATGTACTTCCTGAAAAGTCTTAGAGGTAAAAGGCCTAAAGAAACACTTTGATAAAAAAACATTTAAAAAAAAAAATGAAAGGTTTTTCATTTACTGTAGTGATGCGTTATGGCACACGTTCTCTATTTCATTGCTGTGTGGATCATTTTTCTGAGAAATAACATTTCATTTACCTTTACCTTAGAGAAACTGACATTTGAAGATGTCAGGTCACCTCAAGAATTCAGAAAGGGTGAAGATGCAGAGGTTGTCTGCCACGTCAATAGCTCGCCTGCTCCCATGGTCAGGTGGTTGAATAATGGGGAAGATGTAACAGACATTGATGACAGTTAGTATTTTGGTAACGTTTTAAGTTATGTTTTTCAAAAGAGGTTTTAGTTGCAGAATTATAATTAAGATATGAAGTAGTAAGATGATAAGCTGTCTAACTCAATCTATTTCATCATCAAGATGTACCAATTTTCTATCATATGTTTGACATTTATATATGAATTTAGAGGAGAAAAAATGTATTCATCCATATCATATAATATACATTTTGAAAAGTTAGAGTTGACTTGGTAAATTGATCTGTAGTTAGTCAATTTGTTAATCACTACCTCTATATCTGTATTTTAATGTCATGACTCCAAAGTAAATATTTGCCAGCATTGCTGTATGCAGGTATTTTTATGAATATCTGCACATATTTATAGTCATATTCTTATTTTATAACACATGGGACTTTAAATCAAACACAAATTTACAAGAACCATTTAGTACTATATTGGTTACTAAATCTAAATATTTTGTTCCTTTTTTTGAGAAAACATGTCAACTGGAGTAAGGTTTGGTGACATGCCTTTGTTTGAAACCGCAGAAAGGCATCATGGCACAGTCACAAAACCAGCATGTAAAACAACATGTCTCACCACTAAGGATAATGACAGAGGTTTGGATACACGTCTTCAGCCGAGGATGTGTAAGCCGCACTGCTGCACCAAGGCACCTCTTATAGTGTGGTCCTAACTCTAAACTATGGGAGTCTCCATCTTGGAGCACATGGGGGCAGAAGATATCAAATTGGGTGCAGGTTTGTCAGGAGGACGCCCAACCTCCTTAAAGGTACAGAAACACACAAGGGATCCCGCACATCCTATTGGCAGCTGAGAAACCCCATGCGACGCTGCACCAAATCAGTCAAGCAAAACAAACGACAAACGCACTCAACAATTTGTTACCAGTTATACAGTAAGGTGCACACGAAATGGGCTTTGAACAGTAAAACAGCAGAAAGGCATCATGGCACACTCACAAAACCAGCATGTAAAACAACATGTCTCACCACTAAGGAGAATGACAGAGGTTTGGATACACGTCTTCAGCCGAGGATGTGTAAGCCGCACTGCCGCGCCAAGGCACCTCTTATAATGCGGTTGTTTTGCATGCCTGTGTTTGAGTCCCTGAACGAATGGACCAAATATTGACACAGAATCCTCAGTATAACATATCCTTTTTTTACCTCTCTTGACTAAAGTAGAGAATAATTTTAAAATATTGCCCTGCCCCGTTTCACCTCATACAGTCTCTCACTGTATCAGATGAAACAGAAACTGCTATCTTATAAAACTATTTGCCACTATGTACTTTACTTCATAGTTCTCTCTGCAAAAAACATATCGCTATACAATGCTGGTTTCTGACTGGTCCACACCTGCAACCAGTCAGAAGCCAGCATTACTTAGTAATAATTATCCTGGAAAGATAACTCACCTTTTTTAGAACTCTAACGCAAAGAGCATTAAAGAGTGTGGTCACTATGGTATTGGAACTCATGTCAGTAGTGAGGGCATTTAAAAAACTATTTGGGTTTAATTTTGGATAGAGTGTTGAAGGGTTATAACTAGGGATGCACCAATACCGAATATTTGGGTGAATACTCGTACTCGCCCAAATACTCCAATGCCTAGCCCGATACTTCCTGTATCAGGAAGCCGGGCAGCGCGCCATTACATTCTGCACGGTTTCCTGATTGGCCAGGAAGCAGCTCCATGCTGACGTGATGAGAGAGCATGGAGCCATTTTCCCGGGCCAATCAGGAAGCCGGGCACCGTGTAATGTTGCGCTGCCCGGCTTCCTGATTGGTCTGGAAGCTGGCCAAGCAGGAAGCTGGGTGCCATGTAATGTCGCAGCGCCCAGAATTCTGATTGGCCGGGAAGTTGGCTTCATGCCCCCTCGTCATGTCAGGACGAGGGAGCATGGAGCCGGCCTCCCAGCCAATCAGAAAGCAGGGCGTTGCATCATTCACAGCGCCCGGCTTCCTGATTGGACGGATCCGGCTGGGTACCAGAGGAAGGCCACGTTCTGACTGGAGAAGCCTTTCTCCAGACTTTCTTGTTCATCAGGAAGCCAGAAGGCGAGTCTTTACACGCTGCCCAGCTCCAGACTAATCAGGAAGCCAGGTGGCGAGTCATTGCACGCCACATAGCTTCCTGAAAGGGACTTCCGTTACTCAGTAATTGGTATCGGTGAGTGCCAAAAAATAATTATTGGTACTCGTACTCGGTACCAAAATACCGGTATCGGTGCATGCCTAGTTATAAACCCTATCACTGTTTACTGCTATCCAGGCCTGTGCTACAGAATTACACTAGCTTCCAGTCTTCCTGACTATGTTTTCATTAGACAGAACATGAGGGTAAATCTGCAAAAGGAGCACAGATTGAAATATAAATTCAATGGAAATAACAAATCTGATGGAAGTAGCAAAGAAAATCATTTTTATTTATGTCTGTTGGTGATTTCCCCTCACGTCCTGCCTTGTAAAATGGTGTCAAGAGTACAGACAGTGAGGCTAAATAATCCCTGGTTAAAAACCTGATAGGGGTTATAACCCTTCCCCACTTTACCCAAAACTAAGAAAAAAAATTGACTATCCATCACTTTAAATGGTTTTGTTTTTTGTTCATTGGGTAGCAGCTCAGCAAAACACCAGAAAGTCAATAGTACCAGCACGCTGTTAGTATTGACACCACAAGTAAACACAGAGAAGCATCATGAAATAAAATGTTCTAACTCTAAAATTTGGTGTAAACAAACTTATGCTATGCACATTTAGAGTGTGACTTCATGTATATCACTTCAGTAGAATGTTTTGAAATTAACATTTATATACGAGTCCAGTTTTGTTCTATAAATAAGTTCTTTATGAATTTCCCTTTGTGAAAGATCAACTTCAGTTTAGATGAGTTACTGAAAATATGTTTTTCATTGTAAAAGAGAAAAAAAGAAATTTAAATTCTGGAGAATTATATTTTTGAAGGTATTGATGGTTATTACTCTGTCTCCAGCACTCTATTACAGTCAGAAAATAATTGTAGGCATTAAACTACTTTATTATACCGATTTAGTTCTTGCTTACTGTACATCTTTTTTGTAACATTCCCTAATTTTCCTTTAATGCACAAATTAATATTGTCATGTCTTCTCATAAAGAACATCTGTATAAACAATGAGACACTTAATAGTTTTAAGCACTTAATGCATTTCAAATAATAATTTAATTCTATTGCAAGTGGACCATTTTTATAAGTATTTTTGACAGATGAGAAATGCAGTGTTAGAAACTCATCTTATAGAGCAATGTAGACTTGTGTTTATTGCTTTTCTGATATGCTTTATACTACTGTACTTTTATTCCTCCATACAAGCCAATGTAGCGCCATCTCTGAATGAACACAATGAAGGGAATTTATCAAAATCTGGAGCAGCTGTACATGGCAACCAATCAGCTTCTCTCTTTCATTTTCTAATCTTAATGGAACAAACTGAAGAGAAGCTGATTGGTTGCCATGCACGGCTGCTCCAGATTATGTCTGCTCCAGTTTTGATAAATTCCCCCCCAATGTGTTTTCAAATGTTCCTGGCATATGAGTCTGACTGACCAGTACATTACCCCTAAGCAATTGTTGCACATTATTTTAAAATTCTTTTTTTCTTAATTTTCTTTCATTCTTTAAAATTATCTGACGTTTGTCCAGAGACTCTCCATATCAATGATTTCAACAAAAATCTTTCTAAGATTATGTTTGCATTTAAAGTATTTTAGACATATCAGTTACCTGTAAAAGCCTTCCACATGTGGACATCTGAAAGGCCTCAGACCGCTGCTGGACTTCATCATATAGGAAGTAATTTTAGCAGGCACAGCTGTTACCCAAGTGACACTCTTAGAAAGGGTCATCAACCCTTTTGCACATAAAGTGGAGGTCACCTCCACTTTAAAAAATAGAAAAATGAAAAGATGTAAAATTAATATAGCACATATAACTGCCACACAAGCTATTTTGTAATTGAAAGTTACCTCTCTATTTAAAACTGTATATTTTATAATGTTCTAAATCTGTCAAAAAAATCCAATGCAATATGGCAACCTGGAGATGTTCTGTACAAAGTTGGTATAAGGAATGCCCCAGAAATGTCACTATCTGCTTCTGTGACAGGCTGACAGATTTTCCCAGAAGTCTGCACTAAGATAAAAGTGTAATTTTTGGCATCCCTTTGCAATTGGGATTTCTTGTTTGGTGATATACTCCCTAAGGGTCATTTACTATTAAAGGGATGCCGACACTGCAACGCTCCCTATTACAACACAGGAAGCCCACCAACTGGTTATATCAAACCCAGACCCTCCCATTCAGGAATCAGTTTGGAAAGGACCTGCTGCAACAAACAGCTTTTTCCTCAGAAAAGGGACAGGTAGGAAACTGCAAAAAAGTTTGCTAAAATCCTTGTAATGTACACAGATCCCTGAGAGGATTATTTTTTTCTCAATAAAATTGGAATCACTCTTTAATGAGTTTAATTTGCCATAATCAGTACAACTATGAGTGCAAATATTGATTAACTGGTACACACAAAAATGTTCAACCTCAGTTTATGCACTTTAGAGCTCAGATCAGCCCCAATGCATAAACTTAAATTCAGATCAGGCCTAATTTATTGAGTTGTAATTGACAGTCTAGTCAGTTACAGGCAATGGCAGTGGGTGCCTGTGCAAATGGCATTCCATTGCCAACATCTGCTCTATAGTATTCTCCTTCGCTCCTCTCTAGAGAGCTACATAAAAAAAGTTATGTAGGACGGTGCCAGTTTCAGCTTTCACCGCGGCTCAGTCGAGCCGAGGCATATGCCTTCGGCTCGACTGAGCCACTCGGCCAACTTCGGGACCTGTACGGACTATAGCGAATAGCCCATACAGCAGCCCTTTGGTTCTGCTGTCAATTAGCAGAGGGGGACCTGCAGTTCTCCATCAGGTCCCCCTCTGGTGATTGACAGCAGCAGAGGGCTGGTGCAATAGCTAGTTTGCTATAGGCTATTCCTATGGTGTTTGTTTTTTTTGACGGCAGCAGAACCGCCCGGACAATAGAAAACAGTTGGGCAGAGCTAGCTGTCACTGCTAGCTCCACACAATTGTTTTCTATTTATTTTTCTACTTTTTTTACTATTATAAAAATTACTATTTACTATATTTCTATTCTGCTCAGTACCACAGAGGTACCGGGCAGAATAGCTGAGCCAAATGCTGCTCAGCGCCCGATGTACGGCTGATTTCAGCCGTACAAGCCCGAAGTGAATAGCCGAATAGCGTTCGGCTCACTTCAATTCGGGTCGGTTATTCACTAGGCTGCCGTTGGCAGCTTAGTGAACAGACCCCTTAAAATACTTTTTTTTTGTGGTTTTACCTGCATTGTTTTAAATTAGAGAAAGGGTCTCTTTAAAAAAAAAGTGTGCTACGCCCATGCAGGAGAAATAAGCAGGTTGAATTAACTGCCACCCTGCTTGGATTATGCCTAATTTCCCTATACTCCCCCACCTCGCAATTTAGCAAGCAGGCAGTAAAGAGATATGCCCACTAATTTTAGGCATTAGGCTCTTCTTCCCATGTGACATGCTGATGCTTGGTGAATGGGTGCCCAAGTACGCAATTCTGCCATAGCCCTGCCAAGTGGTGACTTGGAGGCTTTCTCTCATTGCTCCAGGCACTAAGAAGGGTTCCCAGAACTAATAGGTAAACCTGCAATTTTTTGGCAGTCTAGATGAATACAATTTTCTTGTATTATTGTGCCATGTGTCTATAAAGCTCATTCTTAATCCAAATACATTATGTTTGCTTTGAAAATAGACCTTTAGGGTTATTACATAATTATATTGTAAGAACAATAAATCATTTACATGTTTATTGTGAACATTCATCTAAAAACTGACATTGCTAATATATGTGAAGAAATATAGTAATGCATCTTAATCACAACCTAATAACAACTCTTGTACCAAACCCAAACTCTTTGTTCATGATTTCAAATATAAAATATATTTTCTTTTGTAGCACAATACAGAATAGTCTTTCTTGGCACAGAAAAAAAATATTAAACTTTGAAAATTACATTTTACTTTCAAATTGGCCAATGCATTTTTCATGAAATGCCAAATAGTGTTAGGCAAGAGCAAACTGTTAAGGTATCAGAACTGGTAGATGACAATTTTCTTCAGTTCACTTGTTTCTAACCTTTGTGTATATCTTCATTTTTTTTTTTTCTGTAGGCCGGTTTGCAATGTTAGCAAACAATAATCTCCAGATTATGAACATAAGTAAAAAAGATGAAGGTATTTATAGATGTGAAGGGCGAGTTGAAGTTAGAGGAGAAATTGATTTCCGAGATATCTTAGTCATAGTTAATGGTAAGAAAAATTTTAACTATAATATTTTTTTACATTTCTGGAAATTTTAGTGACCTAACAATTACCTGAAAAAAAATAACATTGAGTAGTTGTGATCATAAAACAACAGTAATGAACTTCAATAGCTGTTTCCAAAAGCTGTATAATTATCATATATTAGTGCTATTATCTTGAACAGAATGGTAACATAAGTATATAGAGTATATCAGAGATTTCCTTGTTGTTTTAACTAGAATATAAGAGAGAAAATAAACAATTCTTTCTGTATGGTAATGACTGGCGGCACTGCTCTAGAATTATTTAAGGGAAGTCTTTTTTACACATCCTTTCTTGAAGTATTAGCTGGATCTTAAACTTAACTATAATTTCCAGACATTGCATTTAATCACTTAAAGTATGTAACATATTTATCTGACGGTGTGAAAAAATACTGATTTTGAAATGTTTTATATTCTAAGGCTCTGTTCACACCTAGGGGATTTGTCGCTTAAAGCTAAGTGCGACAAAACGGTCAAGACAGGGAATCTCATTCCTTTTAATGGCCCCTGTTCACACCTGAGCGTTTTGTTGCACGTTTTGTGGCACAAAGCTTCCCATTGAAATCTATGGGACCAAAAAGCACTGTAACCTGCCAAAAAGTAGCTCATGTTGGAGAACCATGTCTTTTTCCAGTGACTGGTATTTTTCTGCTTGCGGCAAAACGCCATAGAAATTAATGGGATTCCTTGTCTTGAGCGTTTTGTTGTCATGCATATATTTGATCGACAAAATCAGTAAATCATTACTAGTTCATTACTAGTAAATCATTACTAGTACATTAACACTAGGTTTGATTAGCTGCATTGATATGCATTTAAAATGTTTTAAAATGTATAATATATATATATATATACACATCTAATTTTTCCCAATTAATCTATTAACACTTTAACACTTTGCATTTAGATGTTTTTATCTGCTGTCAGTTTAGCTGTGCTTAGCAAAAATAGAAGTCAGGTGCGTCCAGGAATTTTTTTTGAACTACGAATTTAAAACAAATACTTTTTTAGATTAAAAAAAAGATCAATTATTATGTTGACAGTCCTTGGCTTAAAGAAGAATCCCCAGGAAATGTAAAAATTAACCCTTGCAGTGGGGCTACCCCCGCATTTGCAAGGGTTTACTGCTGGCTTTGGTCTAAAATAAAGAAAGTGCATTCACCGAAACCTCAGTCCTGTTTGGCTACTAGACCGGTCCCCTTAGCCTCTTCTACTGGGCTTCAGTGGTCTAAGGACCCGTGATGTAATCTCTCCTAATGCAGCTGTATTAGATGTGAGAACACTAAGAGACATTTCACCACCAGAGCAGAGGGGCAGAGAAGTGAGCACCCACCGCCACAGGACTGAGGATCAGTTAAGAATATTTTATTTTTGCCTACACCAAAATCAGCAGTTAACCATTGCAGCATGAGGGTGGCCCCAGTGCAAAGGGTTTCTTTATTTTCATAGTCTAGTAAAACATGTTTTGCCATGAATATAATCTCAGTGGCTGTATCATCTCAATTAGATTTCCTATATCTGATTCATGTTTCTTATACCTCATGCAGTGCCTCCAGTTATCTTAATCCAGCAACGATCCTTTAATGCAACTGCCGATCGACAAGAAGATATTACCTTATTTTGTCGTGCTACTGGCTCACCTAAACCTTATATCACTTGGCACAGGTAGGCACTCAATTTCCATCTTGCATGAATAGAAACAGGAGAACATATGTGTCTTCCCTGCTGTAATACTGGGCCCCTACCATGTATCTACATTGCTGTATTACTGAGTCCCTACCAAGCTACTCATTCCACACCACAGTCTTAGCTATTGTATAAAACACTCAGAACCCCAGGTATATTTGGCCTGATTTACTAGAGTAAATGAACAAAATCAGGGATAAATCACTATAGTATACTCACAGGCTCACATAAGGTTCCAAAATGTATCTGTGCATAGCTAAACATATTTATCAAATCATACTATTATAAGTATACATGTATACAATCTATACAGTGTGGCCCTAGTTTGCCGTATGCATTGGATATTCAAATAATGCTGTGTCCGTGCCTCCCGCTATTATAAGGTAGCCTAAGAAATGCTAGTGTCAACATTTCATTGGAAAATTAAAAACAAACTAAAAACAGTGTAATCAGTTTGCTTAATAATGAAATGTATATTTATCAAGAAAAGCAGCAGGTAAAAAAAAAAGTGTGCTCACTAACCTAAATAAAAGCAATGTAGGAACTGGTATTTATAAGAAATCTGTTCAGAGGCAGCATTATATGAAATTATGTACATTTGCATGCTGTGGTCACATCTTTCATATCTGCACATACACACTGTAATATTCCCAGCAAAGTGTGCACTGGGGCATTTTTACTTTCAGCGATCCAAGCTCACTCCTGTGATAGACTTTGAGGGTTATTCACTACAGAGCTGAAGGATCCTGCCATAGATTCGGCTGATCCTTCGGCTCGCTTCGCCCGCCTAAGCCCTTTGGTTCAGTCGAACCAAAGGAATGCTGTATGGGCTATTCACAATAGCCCGTACAGCAGACGAAGGCAGCCAAGCAGCTCAACCCGGACAAACTCATATGCTTCGGCTCGGCTGAGCCGGAGTGACAGGCGAAGCATGGAGAAAGGTCGGCTGAATACAAATTAGCTAAGTTTGAGATAGTAGTACATCACAGGAGTGAGCTTGGAGCGGTGACTACTTTACAACACACGCAGGGACCATGGGGAACAAAAGTAGCCAGCCTCCAGAAGAAAGGACAGTGTCAGCATGAACTCAGATGATTTGAGGATCTACAGCTGAGTGATTCACAAATAAGATACATTTTTGTTAATAGTTAAGGTACTTGAATGTATTTTTAAGATTTAACTTCTGAGTTCAATGTCACTTTAAGTGTTCGAGTGTTTACTTTCATTATTAACTAAATTATTTGGTATTCTTTGGCACAGACTTTCTGATATGGAGGATGATGTTTATGTCTTCAAGTATTATTTTAATACTACGTTGTTTAAGTTTCAGTGTAGTTGATCAGGAGGAATGTTGTGCAATGTATACAGTGTTTGCCTCTTTCAATGCCTATAGCAATGCCTTATCTGTCCTTTAACAGTAAAAATAAACAAGCCTAAATATCGATAATGTTTTACTATTTAGAATATAAATGTAAGATTTTTAGTGTGTTACAGTTTCCTTTAAAATCACATAGACCAGTCGGATTCTGTCTTGTGTTGAGAATTTAAAATTCACTGTACTTTCTGTAATTATACTAGCATGCATTCCAAGCTTCTATATATGATATATATTGCTGTCTATATTTAGCATGAGAGCCTCCAGGTCTACACAGGCTGGGAAAGTTCTTGACAACCCTCTCCTGCGTATGGTGTGATTGACTGTTATCGACTATGGCTACTCCACAGAGAAATACACACAATGGACTGATTGCATTGTATTAGAACAGTAACTGACATGAGTGGACATGAACAAATTCATGTCTTATCAAATAGGGTTCCCTGAATAATTAAGCATGTCCCTGCACACCATAGATGAAGTAAAGCTTAATCTTTGCAATAGGCTGTCTGGCCCAGAGGAATGTCAGCAACCTATTATATTTTATTGTGTGCATGGCGTTTACTGACAAGCCTTAAAAGACTACTAACATTCTAATATACAGTTGTGGGGATTTATCAAAACTGGAGCAGACAGAATCTGGAGCAGTTGTCCATGGCAACCAATCAGATTCTATATTTAATTAACTGAACAATCTAAAAAGATAAGTTGATTGGTCGCCATGGACAACTGCTCCAGATTCTGTCTGCTCCAGTTGTAAAAAATTCCCTAAGTGTATATGCCGACACATGACCTTCAACAACCTGTAAAGAAGCTGTATTTATTTATGCAAATGGTGAGCTAGTTGAGGAAAAAAATAATAATTGTGTTGTGTCAGCTGGATGGGCTTAAGTAGAAATTGAAAGGCGGTGCTGTACATGTAGAAAGTCCAAAATAATACCTGAAAAAATAAACACAAATTTTGTTATAGCACATGGGTTTAGTATTTGTGAATTTTGTATGTCATTCAAGGTTGATTATATGCTTTGATACTAGGGCCAATTTAGACAAGAGCAAATTAACCGACCAGCATGTCTTTGGAGTATGGGATGAAATCTGAGAACCTGGAGGAAACCTACACAAATGCAGGGAGAACATGCAAACTCCATGCAGACAGCATCCTGGGTGGGATTTGAACCAGGGACTATGGGTTGATTGAAATATAAATGCAAAAAATAAATCCTACCTAAGCATTTAAAGTAAATAAACAGAAATAATACATAGTTGGAGGGAATATATATACTGTATATACACTAAATTGCCAAAAGTATTGGGACACCCCTCCAAATCATTGGATTCAGGTGTTCCAATCACCTCCATGGTCACGGGTGTATAAAATCAAGCACCTAGGCATGCAGATTCTTCTACAAACATTGGTGAAAGAATGGGTCGCTCTCAGGAGCTCAGTGAATCCAAGCATGGTCCCGTGATAGGTTGCCACCTGTGCAATAAGTCCAGTCAGTGAAATTTCCTTGCTACTAAATATTCCATGGTCAAGTGTTAGTGGTATTGTAACAATGTGGAAGCAACTGGGAACAACAGCAACAGGGTCCAAACTTTGTGTGGCCTTCAGATTGGCACAACAACAGTGCGTAGAGGGCTTCATGGAATAGGTTTCCATGACCGAGCAGCTGCATCCAAGCCTTACATCACCAAGTGCAATGCAAAGCGTCAGATGCAGTGGTGTAAAGCATGCCACCACTGGACGAAGTGGAGACGTGTTCTCTGGAGTGATGAATCATGCTTCTCTGTCTGGCAATCCGATGGCCGTGTCTGGGTTTGGCGGTTGCCAGGAGAACGGTACTTGGCTGTAAAGTTTGGTGGAGGGGGGATTATGGTGTGTGGTTTTTTTTTTTCAGGGGTTGGGCTTGGCCCCTTTGTACCAAGACATTTTGGACAATTTCATGCTCCCAACTATGTGGGAACAGTTTGGGGATGGCCCCTTCCTATTCCAACATGACTGGGCACCAGTGCACAAAGCAAGGTCCATAAAGACATAGATGAGCAAGTTTGGGGTGGAGGAATTTGACTGTCCTGCACAGAGTCCTGACCTCAGTCAGATAGCACACCTTTGGGATGAATTAGAGCGGAGACTGCGAGCCAGGCCTTCTCCTCCAACATCAGTACCTGACCTTACAAATGCGCTTCTGGAAGAATGGTCAAACATTCCCATAGACACACTCCTAAACCTTGTGGACGCTTTCCCAAAGGAGCTGAAGCTGTTATAGCAGCAAAGGTTGGGGCAACTCAATATTGAACCCGACAGACTAAGACTGGGATACCATTAAAGTTCATGTGCGTGTAAAGGCAGGCGTCCCAATAGTTTTGGCAATATAGTGTATATATGTATATATATATATATATATATATATATATATATATATATATATATATTTAGATAGATA